GTCCTGCTCACCTTCGCCCTGGCCGCCCTCATATTCCGCAGAATATGTTTGGCCAACGAGTACGTGTTTGAGTTATAAGGTTGTTTGTCCTAACAGCAGCGACTTGAGTGCTTCACTGAACATTCTGTTTTGGCTATGACATGAGAACTGTTTACAAAGGTTACTTTTTGTATTTACGCTTAAATCCTTATGAATGTTAATGTACCTACAGATACGTTGCTTGTAGGAAAAGCAAAGTTGGACCTGTAAGCTATGAGTTTTGAGTGCCCACTAGATACTTGGAGAAACAGTGCAGTGGAATAGTAACATTAAGGCATGTGGGATGGGACTAAATTTGAATAATTTATTTAGTAAAAGACAATTTTTAAAAAACGGTTGATTCAATTTTTTATGGGGCATAAATGCTCATATAAGTACCCCGTCTAAATTAGTATGAGATCTGACATTGAAGAGGGGATGATTAAATGAAACACTGCTATGTGTTTGTGTCTGGTGAACTCCTAATTTAGAGGGAATACAGTTTTGTAACCACTTTTATTTGCCATGACACATTTCCAGAGGAGAAACACATACAATTTGGTTGTGATGCTGGTTTGTGTGTGTTGAATGGGGATGGGATTGTGAGAGCAAAGTAGGTGCCAGAAAACAACTTGCATTATTTTGGTTTTTATTTTTTGGAAGAAAGATTGGGTAGTCTTTTGAAAGATTTGAATGTCCTCTTCTAGTACTTTCAACTGTATATCTTGTTTTTAAAATTTGAAGATTATGCAAAACATGTCTATTCTTGCAATAGTTATAAATATGTAATATAATTATTTACCCAGAGCTGTTGTCTTTTAATTATATCAGAAATATACATAATGTGTTGAACTGAATGTTTCGTATGTGGTTTTATTTACTAAAGAAAATTTAAGCCTTATTACTTAAATTCTGATATATATGGACATGCTTAACAGAAGTATTTATTACAATCCTGCTGGTAATAAAGTTTCAAGCCAGTCTTTGGATATTTCAGGTATCACATGGCAGTTTGTTTCTTGTTTGTCTGAGGGTTTTTTTGGTTGGTTGGGCTTTTGTAAGGGGGTTTCTTTTCGTTCGTTGGTTGGTTTTTTTCTTTATTGTTTTGTTTTGTTTTTTTTGGGGGGGTGTCTTTTTTGGGGGGGGGGGAGTTCAATGTGTTTTGGGTTTTTTTAAGTCTAAAATCAATATTTTGTATCCAGAGATCTACTTATTATAATAAGTCCCTGGCAATATTCATGAATACTGTGAAAAGGCATGTACAAGCAGTAGACTTACAGTTGTTAGAGTTTTGAGAAGTTTTGTCTTTTACTACTTAAATACTGAAGCAGAAGAAAGTGGGATAATTTTCCACTTGTATTATTGCTCATATAACTGTTCAGCATGTTTATTTCAAAGACAAGGAAGTTTAGCAAGCTTTCATTTTGTTTCTGTCAAACATAATAGCACTGACTTAAGTGAGATTCTCATCCTGTTTTTCAGCAAGTATTTATCAAGCTAGCTAGAGCTTTCCTAAATTTTTTACCAACTGTAGTATATATTACTGTACTGCAACATTAAAGTAGCTATAATAACTTCTAAAAGAAGGAAAACCCGTTGTGTCTAAGAGAGATGTGTAAATTTAGAAAACCCCCAAAATTTGAGTTCTTTAGCATTTCTCTGTATTGATAATCTTGTTTGCAGGTATAAGGGAAAAAAGGTGAAAAAATAACTTTTGTGCAGCAGTTAGACTTTCTGCTGCAGACCAATTTGATGCCAATATATTAACATATTTTTATGTCATTTGTCTTATTAGAAATTCAATAAAAACAAGCAAAAAACCAATACCAATGCCCCCCCCCCAAAAAAAAAAACACACCAAAAACCTGTTCAGCTCGTGTAGCCTCTAAGATAGAAGCCCTGTGTCTCCTGGTTGGTGTGCTTGAATCCCCGTTCAAGTACTACAAACGTGGGCTGACAGAGGGAGTTCTGGAAGAGGTGTGACCCTCAGGACCGTCCTGCTGGGTTTTCAGTCCCTCTGGAGTCTCTGCTCTGAGTGTGCTTTTCTTGTCCTGCAGAGTCCCTGCTGTGCCAGGCACAGTTCTGTCCCTGTGCCACACACTGGCTGCTGTTAGCACAGCCCGCTGCTGCACACAGGGGCCAAACCAGCATTGCCCTGTGTCCGGGCTGGGAGGAAATAAACCTTGAATGGATTTTGGAAACAGCCTTGTCACTGTGATTAAAGAAATAGCTGATTTTAATTTGAGTTTCAATCTCCTTTGATAAAAGTTAAAATGGCTGATCATGCAAATGCCTTTTGGAAAAAAAATACATTAATGGTGATTTGGTTTATGTGAAGGCGATTGCATGCAGAGATTGGGGGTTACTGTTTTAATTTTGCTTTTAAGTTAACAGTAAATAAAGTCAACTTTTTTAGAGGAAGTAGCTCATATTCTCTCTTCAACAACATGAGGATTTAGAGAGAGCCTCAACTGCCTTAAATCCATTAAAATACATAATTTTAGAATAAGATACACGTCTGAAACGTGGCACAGGCAGTTACCAGTTGAAAAAGATGCCGTATAGAGGATCAAAAAATGTAGAAAGCCTAATGAAAAGGGACAGCATGGCTTTACAGTCTGGCAGGAGGATAGCACTGAGATTAGGGGATTGAGCAAAAAGCCGGCGTGCAGAATTGCTGGTTTTTATATAATGGCTTTAGCAAGTATCCTTTAGGACCCAGTGGCAATGTGCAGCGAGGCAAACCTGGCGAGTAATGGCCAATCACTGGGCGGTGATGAGGGAAAAGCGCCGGGTGCGAAGCCGCCGGGAGCCCGTGGGATGCATCACGCCGGGAACGCAGCGTGTCTGCCACCGCTCGCCCACCGGGGCAGCGCGCCAGAATTGCAGTTGATTCAATGTTTAAGCCCGGGGGGACTTGTACTGCAGCAGGTCACTGGAGTGCAGAGTGCTCGGCTCTCGTTTCCAACAAGATGCCTTATTTCACAAAACTCCTTTTATTAATTTTCTGCTTAGTTCTTCTCGTGGAAAGCAGAAGGCACAGGAGGAGGAGGTGGACAGCCCATCCGGATGTGCAGAGGGCAAGGTAAGGGTTGCTAAACCAGGTCTGTATCTTTTCCTGCAGTGTTACAAATACATTACTACAGGCATACAAAAACCTACTCTGTCAATGTCTTCATGTATACTGTGTGTGCAAACAGCTTTACAGATAATGTTTTTGTAACAGTCTCTGGTAGTATAATCAGTTTTGTGGGTAAGTGGACAATTCTATGGCTAACCTTGATTAACTGTGAGTGAGGCAGGTTTTGCAGAGAAGTTCACTGCTTCGATATGGATTGTGCTAAAATTATTCTTAGCCATATTTGCAAACTTCTGAGGGAATTCAGAGGAGTTGCAGTTAACAGAGATGGCTAAATGTGCATACTGTTTAATGTTTCAGCACTGTTTCTGGGCAGGTTATTTGCCTGCTTGCTGCAATGTCCATGTTACTTATATTCACTTGCCCATTATGCTCTGACAATTTGAGATGGGGATGTTGGTTAGCACACATAGTGGTAATTAATAACAAATTAAACCTTGGAAGTTAACCAGGGATTGTAAAATTAATTTATTTTTTTGTAATAAACACATGGAAGCATAAAAAAATGTATTTTAAAGTTAAGTGAAAGCACAAGAAGGAGTTAAAGGTCTTAGTAAAGTTTATTAGATTTACCGCTGCTGAGATTTGTCTAGAGGTTTACATTAGAAAAGATAATCTTCCAAACCTGCCAGACAGTCCAAAGTATGTTATCCTTTTTTGTGGTTATGTCATCCAGTGGCAGTTACATCTTACAAGACTATTCATTGTTTGAAGGGCTCACAAATAAAATTGGGTTAATCCATCTTATTAAATGGTTTCACTATGGCAGTAAACTTCCAAATTTTCATTTATTTTTGTGGATTTTTTGGTTTATCACTCAACACTTTTATACAGAGTGTTGTTACTTGAATGTTTTGAAAAGAAACATGATAAATTAGAAGCAAAGAAACCATAATATGCTATCAGATTTACACTACTTATTGAAAAAATACAGTGACATATGCTTTTAGTGACGTAAATGTTAAAAAGCTGAAACAGCCAGGGCCTGATCCTGAAATCCTATAGTCAGCTGAAGTTTTACCACTGAAGTTTACAGAATCTTAATTATTGAATTAGATCTTTCATCGAACTCTGAAAATACTCCAGTGCCTGTATTCTGAGGAATGTGGGAGATTGAACAGTAGCACTTCCTTGCAAACCTTTCTGTGTAGTAAAGATCACGTATTTTAAAGTAATAAAATAGTGTAAATCCTTCTTTAAATATCAATTTGCCCTGAAGTAAAAGTTTCCCTGCTTTAAAAGTTTTGTGCTTTATTTGAACTTGGAGAAAAGTTCTACAGTGCCGATTTTTTCATGAGTTGTAACGGACTGAGAGTCAATGCACTGCTAAAATTATTTCTGTAAATATACTACAAAGAATAACAATACTATTTAGTATTCTATGGTGTTATAATTTAAATTAACAATTTTCCATCTTGGTAGGATCTGAGGAACTATATGCCATATATATATACACACATACATACGATTCCTATGCAATGTAGTTATTAAAAATTTTATAAAATCAGGTTTTAGAGATTGTCAAATGAGAATGGAATTTTAAATATGGAGAATTATGCAGTGTTGCAACAAAAAGAAGTGTATGGACCAGTGTTGTTAATATTTTAATTTTCCTATTCAATTATATTTCAGTCTTTATATTTCAGTATTCAATTGTATTTATTTTAAATTTCATATTCATTATGTAGAAAAATAATTTAGTTGTCCCTAATTTAAATTTCATATTCATTATGTAGAAAAAAAATTTAGTTGTCCCTAAAACAACAATGAATAGTGCACTATTCTAGTAAAAGGAAACTAAAACTAGTTCCTAGGCTGGTTTCCTAATCATATAAGAGAAATTGAAAGAATTATCTTTTAAATAATTCCATCACATTTTCTGCTTTGTATTTCTCATGCTGATATACCATAAGAAATAGAGTAAATTGTACAGTAAACTTTCCTTATTAAAGAAAATTTATTCCTATATTTGGGGGTCTCCAGCTGGTAAGTTTGATATTTTGTGTCCACTGAGGTGATAAATCAGCCTGACCTAAAGATCTTTATATGGACTTCAAGAATATCGCTGGGGGTGTGCAGGTGCAGAGCTCCTTCAGCGCTGCAGTTTCTTGCTCAGACACTGCCCAGGGGTTCCCGGGGTGCAGAGCTCCTTCCCTCGGCGCTCTGGGCGCTGGGGTTGGCTGGTCCTGAGAGTTCTGGGACTGCTCTCTGCCACCATGCTGTGGAAAAGTTGTTGAGCCTATGCCTAAGTGAGGAAGGAACAGAAAGTCAGGTTAGGAAGCTAAATTAAGAATTGCCAGGTTAAGTTGCCTGTGCATCCTTAATTACTCCTGGTTGTTTGTGTTAATAGCTTGTAACACATTATTTTTTTCCATGTGCAGAGCCTCGCTCAGCACACTGAATGGATAATCCTTGCTTGATTAGAAACTGCCCTGCCTTTAATTTTCTCTTACTCCTGCATCCCCCCCCTCACTGATAACACATCCCTGCTCCTACAGATTGAGATATAACAAAGAAACAACTGCCTGTGTGCATCACTGCCCTGACTGTTGCCCGAGACTGCCTCACTTTATGCTTTGGAGAGCCCAGGCTTTGCGTAGCAAATTGAGGTGTGCTCATCGAGTAGCACCTCCTGTCTTCCTACTTTGATGGTAGTTTTTCACATTTTCCATGGTGTACAGTCCCTGCCACTTAGGTTGAGAAACTGAAGGACATCAGTGATACTTTGAAGCTGAGTGTGTTCTTGCTGATGTGCAAGATGTACGAATGGTGCATGAAACCAAGGGCTCTAGAACTGTAACAGCATTGTTGGTTAAAAAATTTTGCATTTCCTTTTGTTTGGAGAATTCAAG